CCGTAAGTTCACATAACTCACAAAAAAATGTGCCCCTGAAGTATTCCCAAATAATGGCTGGTTGACAAAATGAATAATGCTATTAAATACAAAATCGGTAGAGTGATGAACCGCTCAGCATTGCCAAATCAAGTATTGACTGGAGGCTAAAGAGAATGAAAGGGAAAGATTTCATTAAAAGTGGAAACATTACTGAAAGTAAAATAAAATAGTTTTGAATATACAAGGGTCTGGTAAGCACATTCTACATTAAGGCAAAAATCCAATTTTTTACTAAGAGAGTATAAAGTAGAAGCATGATCTAATGAAGTCTTAAATAGAGATTCTAACAAGCAGTCCTAGATAAAAATCATATTGTTTCTTTTTACAATTTTCCTCTTTATTTCTGACAATAGCCAGGTGTATTTGAATAAAACTTTGAAATTTGCTGATTTAAAAATTGTGTACTTTCACTAGCAAAAAAAAATCAGTGTAATTAAGAAAAAACTTTTAGAGTCTCTGTTAACCCAAGATTAAGTAGACAAACACTGTATTATGAGCTACGAAGCAAGTCCCCTCAAAAGACGTAATAAGAAGGATTCTAAAATTACGGACAATATCACCAATAGACAGGGTGGTAGAAAACAAGCTGAGTGAGGAGTTAATGAAGCATTTACATCCCTCACCCTAACATGAGGACACATTAGTTTAAACATTTTAAAGATAACATTTCACTTCTTTAAAAACATTCATAACAAAGAATCTCAAAGTATTTTATAAACACATCTATTACCCCTTATTTTCAAGTTGCTGCCATGTCTATCATTGTTCAGCAGCAAACCTAACCATAAAATGTCTTCTTAGAGCAAAAGGAGACCTTTTTCTGGTGGGCACAAGAACAGGAAGGAAGTGACACACTCAAAGAGGAATCCAACGGAGTCCAATACATAGCTCTGTTTCCAACATCTGAGCTACATTTATGACAAACAAATGCAGATAAAATCACTGTTGACAATCCCTTTAAATTGCCCACAACATATGGCATCCTTTAGCTTCCTGCATGTCACCTTGAACTCTCTGAATCCTAAGTTTATTTCTGCATAAATCCATATGCAATTTTCTGGGCACTGAAACCATTGTGCCTCTTAAAATAACCCTCAAATTCTTAAAGTGAGTATTAATTAAGGGGAACATTCTAAAATGTTCCTACTTGCCTTCTGAATTTACTCCTGTTTCATTATTAAACCTCAATAGCTTTCAATACATGTTAACAGACTGAGATTCCTTGTTGTTAAGGTGAAGTAGCGAAGCATATGTTAGGGGCTGGGAGAGGGCTAGGTGCTAAAGTCAGAGGCAAATTAAATGCACATAAATTACCCTGAGTAGTTTCAACTCAGACATTATTTTGTAAGGGCTGTGCCTTAGTCAGTCAGTACCAGAAGTAAAGGAACTATCAGCCCTATTGATTCTCTTCACTGCAAGAACTTCTGTTGAACCTGAAGGAATTTACTTCATGAACCATGTAAAAGTTATTAATATGTTAATACAACTCCAAATATATGTTAATCAGGTTACAAAACATATTGGGATATAGTAAGAATATGGTTTAGTATTATCTACAAATTCCAAAAAAGATAGTTGGGGTGATGGCCTGAGGAAGGAACCACTTGAATGGGTTCCATCATTATTTGGGTTCCCCATTCCCTTTGTCCTTAGCATCATCAACATTCAAGATGCTGTGATCTGAATTTGCCAAAACAAATCTATAGAAGAGTGTTAGCAGAAATAAGTGACACACTCTGGCTTTAAAAATCAGATCATAAAGTCTTCATTTGAACTGGAATCCCCACTTGCAGCACAAATCCATCTTCTCCCTCTCCAAGTGCCTAAAATGTGAGAGAAGCTATTTTATTTCACACTTTCAGTGTATCTCAGTGAAAATGAAAAAACAACAACAACCCTACCAATTTGAGCACAAAACATAATTTAAAACAGAATCAAGGATTAATAAGTAAAAAGTAACTGAGCCTGAGGGGTGGGCAAAAAACTAGAGGGCACATTAATTATTAATGGTAAGAAACAATCCTAACGGGGCCAGAAAAACTACTATGGACCTGGTTCCATTTCTGTGCTATACAGTACAATTTACTTGACAAAGTTGCTTGAAGAAGAAAAAAAGAACAGTTCAATTCACCTATCCAGAATACACACTTAATTCTTTTATATGCAGCATAAGGAGTAGATTTAATAATCAATAAATTGTACTGAGGAAATTATTTTTATGTCAAACATTTTCTAAAATGCTTAAAATAACAAAGGTTATTAAAAAGCAAGGCTATTTACTCTTTTTTGAAGATAATTTGAAGAACCAAAATAAATTTTAAATTTTCAGCTTTTTACATTTCAAGACTGTCTTTTATATACAAAAAGATGAATATTTTAATCTAGCATAAGATTCAGCAAATAACAACAACAATAAACTTCTGGGGAAGGATCTCTGATGATTAGAATTTACTTGCAAACCCTCCTGGTTTCCACTAATAAATTACACTGTGTAACAGATCCAAGACTTATTTTTTCAGATACAACCCCTGGAGGTGAACCTTCTTACTACCTATTATTGTACTAACTGTGCCCCTCTCTACCCTTGAGGAATGGCCTTTGATTTTTAGAGTAAAGTTTTTACACTACTCTATATGAATAACTTGGCAACATATGGCTCTAGAGTGTTTCTTTTCTTGCCCTAAATACTCAGACTTGCCAATTTTTAGGGACAAAGCACTGACAGCTACACCTTCGTCCATGACCTGTAAATAAACCTGTGTTACTATTTAACTGTAATAAGATAAAGGGGAAAGCCCGTTTCTTTTATAGGCTCAGATACAAAATCACATCTGGTTTATTAGTGTGATACATGTAATTGATTATCCCTCATTCGTTTCTCATATTCAGTGAAAGACTAATCTAGGGAATATGAAGATTTGGGGCAATTTTTTTTTTCTTTCACAAGTTCACAAATGTTTAAACTGATACTTCAGACCAAAACAATACTCATTGTAGTATTGTTTAATACTACAATGGAATAATCATTGGAAGTGAAATAATCATTGTAGGGAAATATCTGGCCTATTGAGAGGATTAAAGCAGCTAACAATTTCAAAAACGCTTGGTAAACCATAAAGTAGTACAGAACATGGGATTTGAGCTCCGCAGGGGTAGAAACAGTTACCTGTTTTGTCTGCTGACTATCCCAATGGCCTAGAATGGAGCCTGACACATGGAAGACAATAAGCATTTGCTGAATGAATGAAATACATGGTATAATTCATAATGGGTAACAAAAATAATGAAGCAGAAATGTATCCCCTAGTTAAATAGTGTTGTATTTCACCAATGTACTTAAAAGAACTCTGGGTTTTTTATGCAACATGCAGATGGGTGCCCTCAACAAATTAAGGATGAAAAAATAATGGGTAGTCAATAGGCTGAAATGATTAAAAATCACATTTTGTGATCTACTCTTAAGGTAGTGTCTAAAGGATCAGAACTGGTGTTCACTGCCTTTTCAGAGAGAAATACTGTTATCCTTCTGAAAACAGTAGCTTTTCTATGTCCTTTAAGTTCTCTACAGAACATAATCACTTTCATTCTCACCTAATTTTCAGGTGATAGCCAACACTGTCAGCGCTCACGGTAACTCCATCATTCTACATAGTATAACATAATTCCTATAATATTTGATAAGGCAAGAATATCTCATTTAAATAAAACTGGGCAATGTTCAGAAAACTACATTCTTTGTCAATATAAAAATAAATGAATGTAAATGCTCATTTTAAGCAGCATATTTGTGGGCACAAATTTACAGGGCTTAAATTTTCTTCTTGAGAGATTTTTCTAGTTTCAAAAATTAAATACACTCTTTACAAGAATGATTTTTTTGAAATAAGATTTGTTCAAATGAAAATTAACTTAAGAGAACATAAAATCTTCAACAAGGACTGGATAAAATATTAGGAAAAATATATGCTTAAACTATATTAGAATATTTCAAAGGAAAATATAAATTCTGATACTCTTAATTATTCCAAAAATCATTTTTTTTTGTATTTTGACACTTTAATAAGCACACAAGAATGAATATGTTCTTGAAAATAAAAAGAATGTAGTTAGGAAATTCTTTTACCAATAATTGCAATCTTGAAAGAAACAAATAGGTATGAGAAATTATTTTTCAGAGTTATTGACATACCTGCATTTGATAGCGTTTGGTTTATTTAAATTTAATCTGTAAAATCTACAAAGGTTAAAATTAAATAATTTTCCATTGTTGAGTAGCAAATCATGATCAGGAGTAATACAAGGGTCCTTGAGAAATAACTATGAACATAATGTAAACAAACCAAAAGTTATGCACATCACTAAATTTCTTGAAAATGTTACTTTTATGAGACATTATTTACTCTTGTCTACCTGAACCTGCTTTATATGTTTCTAATTTTCCTGCAACTTCAAAAAGAGAGTGGCCCAAAATTCCAAGGCTTATAAACTTTGCCCTAACAGTATTTGTTCCTATCCCAAGGTGCAAAAAAGACTTCCCAGAATTTAGGTTTTACACTATGTGAATGAGACTGGTGCTCATATAATTATATTTGTTCCATTCTGTTAGTAACCATTTCAAAGTGAAAGGCCAGGACAGGTTCTAAACATGTTAAATTCTATAAAGCCATTAGCAATAAATTGGATCCGGCAGTTTACTGGGACAATGGAATCTGCTGAAAAAGAATCTATTAGTCATTTTGGACAAATCCATCGGGATTAAAAGAATGAGTTAAGATCGTCTAAGGACACAGACTCCCCCCACCCCACCCCACCCCAAAAAAATCCAACTGGATCTCAGCTTCCGAGTCTCTGAGAGGCTTTTCCGCAGCCCCTCCAGAAGCTTTAGCTAATATTTGACTAAACTGCCCATCCTCTCTCCATTCACACCGCTTAAGTTTCATGCGGGAATTAAAACAAACCCTTCTTTCGGTAAATTCCCATTTTTTGGTGAACTTCCTACTCCAGGTGCCAATTCAGCTGTTTCAACGCAGCACGAAGAGAAAGACCTGAGTTCCTTGCGCCTTAGTGATCCAAAGTGAACTTGGCCCGAGTCTCCCTCCACGGATCTCCGCGAGCGTCCTTCAAGGGCCCGACCCCCGCGACAGTTTAAGCGGCAAGCGCCCCGAAAACGGGCCCCGCCAGGCGCTCCTAAGCCCGCAGGTTTCCAGCGAGCGGGCGTCGCGCGGCCTCCCGGACAGGGGCGGGCGGGCAAAAACGCTCAGCGTGGGAAACCGTGGAACTGGTCCACCGAGCCCAGACCGAGGGACGGGGCTGTCTGTCCTTCATGGCACCTTCAGGGCTTC